GATTGTTCTCACATGTTGGCCAGTACCTTCCATCTCTGTTACACTCCCACCCCCACCGTGGACAGTGGCCTGTTTCAGAGAGGTGCCCTTCTGAGACTGAGAGGGAAGGGAGCTGAGAAAGGCTGCTGCAGGGGGAAAGCCCACCACCACCAAGGCTCCGAGGCCAAAGGAAAAGCACATTTGGGTCAGTTTCTATGAGGTGTCAGCACTGTGATGAAGCGCCAGGGCTTAAACAGGGAAAAGGAGACCTGGGTCCTTTCACAGGTGGCTGTGTGTGTCAGGTGGCAGAGTCTGCCATTAGAAACCACTCAACAGCTATCTACTGGACACCTATTTTGAGCCTGAGTCTTTGCTGGGGGCCATGGAGTTATAAAGACATACCAATTAAGAGAGTTTGGCAGAAAGACAACAGAAAACCACAGACCTGGCATCACAAGACATTGGCAGATGATGTCTAGACCATCCTGGGGGGCAAAGACAGGGCTGAGTTGTCCTTGTCTATTTCTAACTTAGCTCCAGCTTGACTACCCAAACACAGGGCAGAGAATTTAATCAGTGACTCAGACCAAGCCTCAGTCAGGTACATGTCCTTCACTCTGGAGAGGGATCACCATTATCTTCCCTGTCTTCCTGTTCCCTGGGACTGAGAACAGATAGGCAAATTCACAATACTCTAAGGCCCAATGTCCCTAAAGATCCATGGTTTTCAAGCTCACATGAATCTTCAGAACACTCAGCAAAGGGCACTCCTTTTCCCCAAGAGTGCTTTCTCCTCCACCAGACCCTGGTCTAGTTCCCAGCAGATCTGCTCTCCCTACTTAAAATTTGAGTTTTTGCAAAGGTTTTCTTCAGGTTTTTCAGCTGCAGGCTGCATTCAGAATGAAAATCTTCCAGAAGGAGCTCAAAGTTACAAGTATCTATCTGTAAACCGTAATTCCTCTCATTTCTTTTCATTTCTTTTGTCACTGGGGTTTCTCCATTCTGAATCTTCATCATCAGATTCTGGAGCCCAGAGATTCTTAGGGGAAATAACCCCAGGAGAAGCAGGGGAAGTATAGGCTTATTTCCCATCCTTTCCTCTGAACCACCTGACTCAAGCTAGGTAAGGAAGATATCCCTATTTGAGACAGCTTTATCTGCCCCCTCACTCCCTTGTCTTCCTGAGCCCAGCAGTGAGGTTCCCTCCTCCTATGCTTGGGACTCCATTTGCTCCCAGACAGGCTCTGGTGACTATTCCCTTCCTCTCCTCTGAAGTTTATTAAACTGTGGAAGTCGACTCACCTTTAAATAAAACAAAGCCTCCTTTACTCTCTATTTCCCCATCTTTAAACACCAGCCTCCTTTCCCATCCAGAGGACCTTTTCCCACCACCATCTAAACACACTGCCCCTCTACTTCACTTCCTTCTTGCTCCAAACCATTTCTGTCTCCTGCATTACCTCTGTCATGAGGTAATGCACTGTCTATCCTGAAACTTAAGCCAGAAACCTGTGGGTCATGGTAGCAACCACCCTCAGGCCTCTCAGTGACCTGGTCCCAATGGTTCCATCTCCACCTCCCAGACTCACCCTTGAGGCCCAACTCTATTACTGCTGTCTCGGCTGTCCAGCTGGTGCGGGAGTCTGGTCATCTCCTGCCTCCAGTACTCTGATATGTCTAAATCACAAATGTGATCAGGCCATTTCTTAAGTCCCTTCAGTTGTTCCCCACACATACAAGGTCATGTTCTACGTCCCCCACAAGTCTCATCAGGCACCGTGTGATCCAGCTTCTACTCCTCACTCTCAGTGACCATCTACTGACTTGATTCTGGCCACACTGCCACTTAAATTTCCCTGCATGCACCTCCCTCTCACTGCAGGGAGACAGAGGCAGAATATCCCAGCAGCAGGAGCACATGCCTCTTCACCCTTAAACAGTTCTAGCATCCCCTTCCCTACAGATTTCTTCCTCCTAAGTTTCCAGGTAGAATGACTCTGTTGTTTGTGATAGCATTCCCTGCCTAGCATTTAGTTCGATGTTCTTAACTACAACTGGCTATCTTGATTTCCGGGGACATAACAAAAATGCTTTGGCCCCGCAGATATCTTACCCTGTCAGTCTTGGAATGCAGGAGGCTAAGAAGTTCTGAAACCAGAGGAAAGTCCATCTCTTTGGATGGACTTCTATATCAAGATAATCAATAGAGGGAATATAACAAAGGAGAAAATTTTTAAATGAAGTCTCTTTGGAGGGGAGTTAAACAAATATAAAAAGGGAGAAGACTAGAATAAATCTTGTTGGGCTTGTCTGGAAGTACTAGTCTGAACTCGTGATTTTAATATTGAATTCTTTGTGCCATCTCTCTCAGTATTTCCATATAAGTTTATTTCTTTGCTCTGTGTGCTGAAAGCCCAGAAGTAATGATGCTACTGTACCAATAAGCACACTTAGAACTCATCTTTTGGCTTAATATGATTCTCCATTAAAAGGAACCAAGACTCCCAGGGAAGATATAAGCCTGGAATATTTATTATACTAGGCAGTAAGAAAGAGTTTAAAAAATGAAGATGTTAAAAACACAGGGGCCTGCTGGATATTTGGGGCAATTTAAGAATCAAAATTAATCAAAGCAATGCCATGCATCTTTGAGTAAAATAGTAGTTCTTTATCCAAATGATAAAGTGGACTAATATATATGAGGAAAAAAGATGCTTGATTTTCTTCAGCAGTAGAATGTCAACCATAGGAAAAAAAAAATTATGAATTAGATAACCACATTGGATGAAGAACAAAACTCATGAACTCAAAGAATCTCCCCATAAGTAACTGTTAGTTACAAAGGGGTAAATAGTAAGTTTAAATGGAGAAGACTGGCAGACATCACAGGATCTTAACTATGTGATCAGAGTTAACAGCAACATTGACCAACATTATTTGCAAACTTACGAACTACTGAGGACACTTCATGTCAGTGACATTCCTGTCCTAGTCATGTGGAATCACAAGACCAATCCAAGTTGTGGAACATTCTACAAAATACCTGGCCTGTATTCTTTAAAAAATGTCAAGATAAAGAAAGGCAAAGGTTGATAAATACTTCTAGATCAAAAGAAACATATGTAATCTGACACATGACCCTGTCCCAGGAAAAAGAGAATCACTATAAAGGACATTACTAAGAAAATTAACATGACTTAAATATGGACCATGGGTTAGACAATATTATATCTATCAGTGTTAAAACTTCCTCAACTTGTTAACTGTGTTTATATTTAAGTTATGAGAGAATGTCCTTGTTCTTAAGGAAATGGATACTGAAGTTTCCTGGGTGAAGGTAGTATATACAATGTCTGCAGCTTATTCTCAAATAATTCAGAAAACACAATAAGTAAATAAGTGGCAAATCACTAGTCATAAACCAGATAAGGTAAAATGTAAACACTTGGTAAATTTGGGTTAAGGAAATATAGGGCTTCTTTGTGATACTCCTTAACTTTTCTATAAACTTGGTATCATTAAAATTTAAAATGTTATCAAACCAAGAAGCCAACAACAAGGGATGAATAAGAATTATGGTACAGTTACTTTATGAAAGCTTTAAAATTATATAGCCTTACAAATAATGTTTGTGAATATATAACAGTGTAGAAAAAATATATACATATATAGCGGTAAGGATAAAAGCAGGATACAAAACACTTTGTATGTATATTACCACTATGCAAACTACTGGAAGGATAAAATCAAAGGTGGTGATAAGGATAATGTGGATAAGGAAAAAAATGATTTTTTCTAAGAAAAAATTGAAGGAAAAAAAAAAAACTTGCCAGCATTAATCATCCCCCCCCTCCCCCGCCCCACCCACTCAGATGCATGTACTGGACATCTGAGCTATTTCCCATGTTCTTGTGCCTCAGGCTCTCTCTCCACAAACCTTAACCACCCACCAAGAGTGCAACAGTGGTTCTGGAGAGTCTGAAGCAGAGGCAGCGGGCCTGAGAGTAATTAGGTTCCCATGGCAGGCAGTGAGCCAGCTGCCCTACTGAGCAACTTGGCATTCCCACTGGCCAGTGAGCCTGAGCAGCTGTGGACACAGCTGAGGGGAAGCTGGCAAGGATGCATCGGGGACTCGGGACTCCCAGCAGCAGCACAGAGACACCCCCGTCCCCCATCTTTGGACACACTCAGGGCCTCTTGTTCGCATGTTCTCTCCTGAGCACAGACAGTAAAGCTCCTTAAAACCTCTAGAGGTTTAGGACTTCTTGGGTGCCCTTATCTAGTGGCACAGTCCTGGCTCTGGTGTCTAGGGGGAGAAAGCGTTAAGTCCCTATCAGTCCTTTGCACCTGACATAAACCATTCCACCAAGGATGCGTAGATGGTTGCAAAATAGTTCAGAACATGAGACTTTGCTTTCAAAAGGCATGACAGAGAGAGCCCTGTACATTTTAAGGAAACAGGAAAGAAAGAAAAGAGAAAGTCTATCTCCTTTGTAAAAGACTCAGTTTTGCCCCTACAAGAGATGTCTTTTAAAATTTTTTTCCTCAGACAGCTCTTTCTGCCCATGTGTATCTGTGCAAGCTGCTTCTCCCTTCCTTTTCCTAGTAAACCTGTTCTTTTAAAAATGTCAAAATATAAAAACCATACTTTTCTCCTGAAGGGGCATGAATTAAATAGATACCCTCAGATCAGGCAGACAAAGAAAAAGAAATATGGGGAAGGAAGCACAATGGACTATGGTAGAGAACTGTGGGGACTTTGGGGGATGGGAAAACTGGTGATTGCACCTGAGGATAGAAATCCTATACTGTGAACAAATAAACAGAGAAAGGTCATTTAATGAAAAATTAAAAAAAGAAAGAAATCCCTATTCTATAGGGAAATAGCAGCAAAAGTTTGTGAACCCCAGTGGAGAGAAAATCCTGCATCTGGGCAGTTTCTTGTTTAGGCATACTGCAGACCTGCTTCCCAAATGCTCCCCAACCTGAAGGGAAAAGCACCACCATTCTGAGTCATGTGACCTGATTTAAAAATATTTTATTACACAATCTTTTCATGGCACCATCAGGAGTAACAGAAAACGTTATTCCCAGTTCCTAACCACATCCTGAAAAATATACATTTGTATTTATATATTTATATCAATACTCCACCCAATCTCATAATTCCACCACCTATTGTAGGTCTTCCGCTTAAAGCAAGAAACTATTCTCTCAGGTAAGAAAATATATATAGAAGCTACATGAAGTAATGGTTAGAGTGACTGGGACAACTTGGTTGTGGGGCAAGGAGCAAAGGGTGGAGTCCAGGCTAGGCAGGATGCATCACTGGGGTCCAGCAGGGGTGGAAGTGGACAGTGTATAAAAAGGCAGCGTCAGGCAGGTGGGCTCTGGTGTCCTTGGTCCATTAGGAGATGGCCTTTGCCTCAGGTAGGAAGGCTTCCCAGTACTTTGCCAGCTGCAGAGAAGTGGGGACAGTAAGCAGGTGCCCTCATCTAGTACAGAAGCTAAGTCTGGGGTGGGGAGCAAATATAGTCAGGGCACTCTCAGTCATCCAGAGAAAGGTCTGAACTGAGGGAAAAAAGCCAACAGCGCGCCTGGAGACAGATTAGCCAGTTGGCCACACTGCCCGTATCTCTCTCTAGACTTAGGGGCAGCATTAAGTGCAAGGGCAGTCTCTGAAGATAATCCTGGTTCTGTCCCATGACAGTTCTGTGGGGGCTACAATTTTGCCTACCTCAGTTAGCTCTTTACAATGGGGGTCATTATCCCCTAATCCTGGGATCTCAGGATTAGGTGTTGTCACTGGAAGCAGAATCAGGGCTTGTTCTTAAAACCTTGTTCACCGTAAGGTCAGGACAATCCTATTTAGCAAAAGACTATGCTGGATGTTCCATGTCAGAGCAACAGGGCCTGCTGTACCTACTATACGATTACAGTACAGTACAGTATGGAGTACAGCAGGGCCCAGCCTGTCACCAAAGCCCCAGGCAGGTAGCTGCTCTTTGGAGCAGGCAGTAGAGGAAAAAAGTCACGCACAACTGACATACCTGCTGCTGTGAATACAGGAGTGTCTCAAGGTACTTGATCACGTGGTTTTTGAAGTCCTTTGATTTCTCTTTCTGTAGGAGACAGGATTCTATACTGACCATCTAGATCATCATGCCTTTCCCTCTTGACAGCATGGAGATGTTCACTGCTGACCAAGGTCAGCACACAGTCTCAGAAAGCAGAATAAGCTTCTGAAATTGTGCAATTTCCAACCCAGTAGCCTCTGCCCAAGCTCTGCAAGGCTTTCTTGGAGGGTGGGAGTTGAGGGAAAAGGACAGGGACCTGAGGGTATTGGCAGTTGCAAGATTTGTATCTAACTGCTGTGTTCAGCAGCTCCTGCCCCCTCCGTGTACACACACACACACACACACACACATTTAAGTCCACCATGTCATTGGCATCTCTACCTGTCTCTCTGCTCCACATTCCTAAACCAAACTGTATAGCCTACATGAGAAGTACAATTTCCATCTCACCTCAAATCGTATCACTTCTTTTCGGACCACAGTTGAAATTCTTTCAAAGTCCCTTTCATACTGAGTTACTCGAGACTCCCACTGGGAAGAAAATAGGAAGGAAAGGATCACAATGTTATGGAGTCATTGTTAAGCCTCTACCTTTGGACAGCTATTGTATACCTGAGATCCCAATGGGTCATTATGTGTGCCTATCCCTCTGGGTAAAATCAGCTATCATGTGGAGATTCAGCAAATAGGTCGGCATCCAATGGAAAGCCACTTCCAAGCTTGGATGGAAAGAAATGCCATATGCCTCAGGACAACGCTGGTCTCCAAGAAAGTTCTAGTATTCCAGAACTTCCAACTAGGTTCTCATCAGCAGAGCTGAGAACACCAGAGAAGGAAATTTACCTCAGACCAGGGGGTCTAGCTGAATCATCCGGAGACTTTTGAAAGACCTAGCCAGGATCACTCCTGGAGCAATTCTGATCTGGCAAGTCTGGGTAAAATGGGTAGAAAAGAGGAGGGTCAAGGCCCAAGTTGAGACTTCCTCAGCAGATACGGTCCTTAAGATTGGATCAGCTCTCTGGCCTGATCTATGGGGTTTGGGGCATCTGAGAGGGATGGGTCCCAGGCACATTCAGGTCCCAAGACATATCAGGCTATCTTGGGGAACCTCACCTCTACAATTTCATCCTTGGCTTGTTGCAGCTTGTCAGGCTTATTGGCCCATAGCAGCCGAGCCTCAGCCTCTCGCTTCTTCTGCAGTGTGGCCTGAGCATCTTGCCAGCGCTGCCATGTCTTCATGCGTTGGTCAAAAGCAGCCTGTGGGGATGGGTTGGGGGCATTGGGGAAGAGCACAGTAGCCCTCAGGCTGGCTCTCCCAGCAGCTATGCCAGGGAAGGACTGAGCAAGGGAAGGTTCCGCAGCCATGTGTTAGTGCTTAGCTAGGAATTTTAACATCAATAAGCACAAGCTTGGGTAAGACTCCTCTCCAAGCTTCCAGTGGGCCAGTGCCATGCTGCTTCATGCTATTCCCAAGACTGGATGACTGGGAACACATTAGGTGGTCTGATGCCAGTACTCAGTGCCTCCCTCAGATCAGTCAGGAGTCTACACAGTTTTCCTGAGTGCTCACCATATGTCAAGAATTGAGAGTATAGTAGAGAATGAAACATGTGGTCCTGCTTTCACAGAGCTTATAATCCAGTTACCAGAGTACAGAGAAAACAAGTAGGGTACTATAACAAAACTAGAAGCTTGCTCAGTTTGGGACATTTAATCAGGGAAGGTCAACCTAAATAAGCAGCCTTTAAACTGACACCCAAATAACACACTGAGCTAGCTGAACATGTCTTTAAATAGACACCAAGAGCCACTACAGGGACACACTGCTTTCATCCCATCTATACACTCAACTACTCTAGGCTACTAAGGTCCCAAGCAGCAACGTGAAGTCTGTTAGCTGGTTTTCAGTGTTTCCTGTTCCTTAACAACTATCGACATTTCCAGAGGACAGTTATTGGCCTAAACAAACCATCCCCACTCCTGCCAACCTGGATGAAAGAGATGTGCCTTGAGTTGACCCTCCCCTCCCCACCCTGCTATTTTCTTAATCATGTTTCCCGAGATACATTCCAGGCCTCTTTAATGTGGGCCACTGCCAAAAGTTAAAACTAAAGAAATAAAAATGCCACCAAATTCACCTTCCCTGGCACTGGTAAAGCTTCTTATGGGCAACTTAACAACTCCTTGTTAAAGGATTAGGTAAAGGGTGATTTCATATCCAAGTAAGACTCAAGCCTAACCCACAGCTTCAGGTGTAAAGAAAGGCAGAAAAATAAATATTTGCAGTATCTCTCCAATCCCACAGAGGCCAATCCTATCAAGAGGGCAGATAAAAGGTCCCTAAGAAAAGACCCAGCTCATAGTTCTGGGCTCGAAGGCTGCTCCAGTTCATGAAAATCTAGGCTAGGTTCCGTCACCCCATCCATACAGCCCCAACCAGCCCGGTGCTCATGTCCATGAGCTGTGCTCTGCAGTGGCCCCCGACAATGCTACTCTCTGAAAGCTTCCCCAGAGAGCCCTTCCATCTACGTTGTCTAACCAGTTGTAGGACTTTATACCAGGTTATTTTGTCAGCCTCTTAGCACTCTGGACTAGTAGCAAAAGGAGCAAACCAAGGGAAAGGACAGTGAGAGCCCTAAGCCCTTAAAGACACAGGATCTCCTAGAGAGAGATTTTGGGGACAGGGAATGGGGATGACTTTGTCCCAATTCAGGGGCTCATACACCCTGGTCCCAAGACAATCAGGAGCACACAAAGCCCTTACAGGGCAGAGCCAGGCTCCCTCTGGCTCTTTCCTGTCACAGGAGGCCATGCGAGCTAATCCCACTGTCCAGTCAAGCTTCCTTGGCCATTCTGAAAGGTCATGGGAAAACAGACTGCCCTGGTCAATCTGAGAGAAGGTGGGGTGCTTGACCTGAGGGGCAGGCTGTGGTGTTGTTACCAGTGTAGTTTGCACAGCACAAGAAGGACTCTGGTGACAAGCTCTCTCAGCCCCCTGGCCACACTCCTCCATGCAACACCAAGCCAGCTCTGTGTGGTTACCTGATTGCCCAGTCAGAGGACAAGTGGAAGCCAACAAGAGCTCTTACCAGGGCAAAGTCATTGCTTACTGTTAAGGAGGCAGAGCCCAGAGGACTGAGGAAGTCACTGCTCCAGGTGCCAACTCAGCAGGTCTGTAATAAGCCTTGCTTGAAAAAAGCACAGAGAACACTGTCTAGCTTCCACAGAAGAGGGGGGCCTACTTGGAAGTCAAGAGTGGTCTTTTCTCTAAACTCTTTTAACCAACTGGCTGTGGGTCTTGAAATGCCTCAGTGATAACTTCATTTCTCTTGAGAATAGAAAAAATTATACCTATTTCAAGCTGTAATGGATGAAACTTTCTTAGGAAGGTGACTAGCAAAGAAAAGACAAATTGAATGAAGGGGAGGAGATAGAGGAAAGAAGCTTACTCGGACTATGGCCAGGAGGCGAATGTAGTCACTCAGGAGTTCAGCAAGGAGGAAGAAGTCATTGTTGGCCTGTTCCTGGTGGAGCTGCTCAATTTTTTCTTCCACCTCAGCCAGCTGAGAGAGTGCCCGTGACAATGCTGTGTTGTCCTCAGAGCTCCCAAGCATGGCTAGACTCTTTGCAAACTGAGCTGTGTTCAATGCTAGCTCTGAAAGGAGGAAAAGAGCAGAGGTCTCTGATCTTACAGGAAAAGGAACACATCCGTAGGTACTGCACGACCTGTCCTAGCAATGCAGCCCCTGCATATCTGACCCCTGTGGCTCTGCAACTGGGTTACTTACACCACAGCCAACTGTATTCAGAAAGTGAGGAAGAGTGAAGCTGGGTCACATGGCAGGAGGCGGCACACACGGTCCTAAGTTTCACTCAGTGAGGCCCACTTAGGAGAAATAGTGCCAATATTTCTAAAGAACCAGGGATCACTTAATACAAACAGGCCTAAGAAATGACTTTGACTTTTATGGTAAAGCGTCCACAGCCAATAGCCTGTCTGCATGAGAGAAACGAATGCACATGCACACAGCATAGTACTGTATGTTCTAGAGCAGGACAAATTATTCTGTGTAGAGCCAGCTTTGAGGTATTTTCAGAGGTATTTGAGATCCATACCTGACATCTCTTCTCTTTCCACTAATCATTTTGTAAGAACTGTTCCTCACTCACAGCATAGCACCAGGGATTGATCTAGCACATGAGATGGGCCTCATTCTGATGGGTTTCTGCCTGTTTAGATTTACATTTCTGACTACTGCCATGTTTAAGTGAGGCACAGAAGTTAAGCATTCAAACTTGGCAATTTCACTAGTTCTTAAAGCAAATCTCACCAAAGACTTCTCTGGTTTCCCTCTATCGCAGGCTTGACCATGTAGCTAAAGCATGTGGTGTCATTTGGGATACAAGCCATTAACTCAAGTCACACCAACAGAAGCCCACGTCCCAGCTCAAACTGTCTCTGGGATGGTTCCCTGCACCCCTCCCAGGTAGAAAATACAATGCCCAGAGTGGCTGAGTCATGTTCCCTGCCAAGAGGTACAGGACATATCTATTTGATCAGAACATCAAGGACCAAGTGGGCTGAGAATTTCAACTTGACTAGCTGAGAAGCATGGGAACAGTGTGCCCTCTCATCCACCTCTAGTTCACTGGAGACATCTATTTCCAAGTGCATTTCAGAGTTTGTTACCTTTCCTATGGTTGACCAGAGTTTCTACAACAGCATGCAGTTTCCGTAAGCGCTGCTCCTCACACTCTACCTCCTGGAGTTTTTCCTCAAACCACTGAAACACACAAGTCCACAGCTTTTAACAGAGGTTACTCATGTAGGTGCAGAACAGTTTTTCCTTAGTGGTTTTTTTTTTAAAAGATTTATTTATTTATTCATACAGAACTGGGGTACAGGCCAGAGACACGGAGGGTGAGAGGCTTCACCAGAGACAGAGCAGGGAGCAGAACAGGCGGACTGAAGAAGTAAACTACTGAGAGGAGCAGCGGGCGGGTCAGGAGAGGTCTGCCACGCCATGTGGACTCCTCCGGGGCAGGCGGGAATCGAACTCATGAGGAAGTGGCTTTAGCTTCTCAGTGCAGTGCTTTAACCTGCTGCGCCACCAGGGAGGGCCAGTGGTTTTTTTTTTTTTTTTTTAAAGGGGACTGAGTTGTCTTTAAAAGGAGGTCTCAATTCTCAGAAACTTCAGGACTCGCTAGGGCCTTCATCCTACAAGCCTGAGTAGGGAAGGGAAGTTGAGAGGCTCAGGGCTACTCACAATGTCTGATTCATTCATCTTGATGGTCATTTTGCTGACTGCATCTGTGGCTTTGTTGAACATCTTCAGGAGACCAGCGCCACTCAATGTCTGAGTACCCACGGCGCGTGGCAGCTACAAGACCAAGAAGGCGGGGATGGCAAGTTATCTGCTGCCCCTATTTTAGGTTCAGAAGAATTAGTATCCATCAGATGGCATGCCCGAACCTTGCCAAACAAAGTATTTGAACGGTTGATTGTTGTTTTCATAGGCAGACAAATCTATGACTAGCAAGTGCAGAAACAAAATCAAAGGATCATGTTAAAAGAGAATGAGCAAATTTTTCAACTTTTGATACTGTGTGCAGAAAGTAAAGTAAAATATGAGTAATATGTGACCTGACGTTGAGAGGCTTCCCCACCCTCGCATGAAAAGCTTAAACATGTTTTTATTAGAAGTAAAAAAGTTCCTTTAGACAAGCATATTCTGTACACAGCTGGATTTAAGTACAGAATTATCTCTCTGATCAGAACATCAGGACTTAAATACTACTCGTAGGGTAATAGTTCTCAACATGGGCTCATTTTGCTCTCTGGAGACATGTGGCCTTGTGAGGAGAGCGGGTGCCATTGGTATCCTGTGGACAGAGGCCATGGATGCTGGTACATCACCTATAATACAAGATAGTTCCCACAACAAAGAATGATCCAGCTCAAAGTGTCAACAGTGCCATAGTACAGACAACCATATTCTAGAGGTATAAGTTGGAGATGAGGGAATGAAAAGGAAAAATAGTTAGGAATCCCAAAGGAGGAATGAAAAAATTTAAACGTCTACATAGAAAATTTTTAATTACAAAATTCATTTTGGGGGGGGAACCCCCATATCCTTAGTCCTTAGTCCCACCTTCTCTGTTAGCATGATATATGCTACATGCAAAGTAATGAAAAATAAAACAAAATGGAAAAGTAGAAGTGATAGTTCCACTGTATCATTTACTTCCTTCTAGTTATCTTTCCTATGATATGAAAGTATTTTATTTCAGTGTTTCTTCTGCTCCTTAATGACTGTTTTTTTACAGTTGTATTTATAGGCTATTTCATTTTTGGTAATACTTTTCATGTATGCTTCTAATGAATAAGTGTGACTGTTTTGTATACTTTCTGTTTATGATGAGAAATTTTCGCATTGGTATATTTTACTTAATTTTTTTTTTTTTTTAAAGATTTATTTATTTGTACATACAGAACTGGGGTACAGGGCAGAGACTCAGGGGCAGTGAGAAACTTCACCAGAGACAGAGCGGGGAGCAGAACAGGCAGATCAACGAAGTACACTGCTGAGGGGAGCAGCGGGCGGGTCAGGAGGGGTCTGCCACGCCATGTGGTCACCTCCGGGGCAGGCGGGAATCGAACTCATGTGGAAGAGGCTTTAGCTTCTTAGTGCTGTGCTTTAACCCGCTGCACCACCAGGGAGAGCCTTTACTTAATTTTTTACTTGCTAGCTACTGGGCCAACTTCAATTCTTCATACTCAAAACTAGCCTTGGCAGACCCTAGAAGAGAGACTGTCCATTTGAATCAATACTTTTGTTACATGGCAGGTCTGTGGTCTGTGTTAACGGAACCAATGCTGTTTAGCTCCTAGCGAAAAATTAAGCAATCAATTTGAGCTAAGCAGCAACTTGTGAAAAGGAAGCCATGGACTTGCCAAATGATCCACTGTTGTTAATCCAGTGGACAAAACCAGGGTGCAGTTAAACCTCTACAATCAGCGGCTTTTATCTACAGACAGAGCTTATTTTATTTCAAAGGTTGAAAAAACCTGTTACCTCTTGGAGGCTTACAAACTAGGAGGTAGTCTGGAAAATTATAAGTATGTTAAGTGTTCAAATATTTGTATTTTCTCCCCCACATTAATTCAAATTTTACTAATGTAGACTTAAAATATTTGTTAAATGAACTAGCTTCATTTTACTAGAGGCAGATATAATTTATGAAATTTTGTTTGTACAATACTGACCTCTTCTTTTTCCAAGAACTCTCTGACATCAGGGTCTTGTAACATGGTAGGATGATTCACAATCCTTTGAAGGTACCTGTAAGATAAATCATTACTTGATGAACTTATCTGCTCAAGATTTGGGTCACACACACAATGCTAGCAGAGGTACAATATCTCTCATTACTTTAAAAAGTCCTCATAAAAGGAAACTGAGTATGATCCTGCTCATAAATACATTCAAGTTTATGTTCTTCACATTTCCAAAGATGGAAGAAAAGTAACAGGTATGAAAGAGACCCCAGAGCAACTGATAATAGATTATCCAAAAAGAAAAAGATAGTCTGCTCACTAAGAATGGGGTCTGCTCACTAAGAATGGGGACAAAAAGATAGCCCATTCCTCAGGTAACTATATGTTAAATTATGAGTATGAAAAAGACTAAGGGTTAAAGATAATACAGAGGTAGGAATCTTTAATTCATTTAAATGTCCTCTTTATTAAACTAAGTGAATGTCTCACTCTTAAGCCTCAGTTTCAGCTTCTCATTTGTTATCATGCTGCTCAGAAAAATAAAGTAACATGGAACTTACCTTTCTAGAGCAGCCCTTCGTTTTTCAAGAAATTCTGCAGAAGAAGAATCTTCTTTTCCAACTTTCACTTTTGTCATTCCTGGAATGGAATTTAGAAAGTAAACTAACCATAAATCGTCAAGAAAAGGATAAACCTGTAAAAAAAAAAAAGTCCACAGGCGGAAAGGCAATGAGAACAATACTACAAAACAGTCTAATGTTACTTCTATGTTATGTGTAGGTTCTTAACATGAGAGTGCTTGCTTCAAAGTGCTCAAGAGTCTAAACTCTAAGATTTGCAAACTGCCTGTTTTCTAAGAGGGGGCCATGAGAATCTAAGTATAGATTAACAAACATCAACAGGCTAGTGGAAGGCTTCTTACCTTCCCATGCCCTCAGCTAAAACACACACACACACACACACACACACACACACACACACACACACATACTTGCGCGTGCGCGCTCTCTCTCTCTCTCTCTCAGCCCCCCATCCCCCTGAGCTTCCTATAGCACCCAGGGAAAAGAAAACATGTGAAAACTACTCTTTCTCTAGATTCCATGTCATTTATAGGAGAACATTGGAAATATTTCTTTTCTAACCAAAGGTTCTAAATGTTAATAGAAGTAGTTTCATATATTAAGTAGAAAATATAATGCAGAAAGAATGCAAAGGAACAAACCCAAGCAGAATTAAAGCATATAGGCTTACCTATTAGGCTCTTCTCTGGTGGAGGAGGGACAATAAAGCCATTCTGAGAATGTTTCTCTGAAAGCTTCTCATAAAGACCCAGAAAGTCACTAAATCTTCTTTTCACTGCAAATTGTTTACTTCTGAACATTGGTAAGCTTGTCTTGGGAACAGAAAAACACAAGGCAATTTCATTCCAAATAGGGGATGTATAGTTTTAAAGTCATGACATCAAAGGAACCTATGCCCAGATCCCAGTCCTTTGGCAACCAGGCAAATAATTTTTTCCAAGGCTGAGATTCTTAATCTTTTTTGAACTATAGTCCCCTCTGGCTGTTTGGAAGTCTGTGGATCTCTTTCCTGAACAATGAAAATAAATATATAGTATTACAAAGGTAACTAATTAAATCCTAGGTTAAGAACCGTTAACAAGATATTGAAGTTTAGTTTAAAGCTAGAATTCTATGGTCACCTATAACCCATTCAGCCTACACTGACTTATTTAGAGTATTAGCTGCTGGAATTAAAAGAATCTAAAGAGGAACTTAATTAACTGTCTACATTATAGACACTTTAACCTCTGAAGTATCACAAGATCCAGAAGTCAGAGGAGGCTGGCCAACAAGTAGTAGAACAACAATCTAAAGGAGACTCCTAGTAAAAACACTCACCGCATAGGTAAAATTTCATGAGGCTGACCTTGCCAATTGTTGGCAAAAAAGAATCAGTGGGAGATTTTCACACACCATTGACGGGAACATGAACTGAATGGAAAACTTTTTTTAAAAAGTATTCCTTTTGCTCAACGTCTGTACTATTTATGACCCAAGGAAATGACTCCAGGCTCTATATCTGAGAGAAACTGTCCTATGTGTACACCAGAAGAATGATCATAGTTCATTTAATTACAAAAACTATAAAGATGTCAAATATTCACAGGAAAACAGAGAAATGTATTATGCTATAATCACAGAATGGACTAAGTCCAACTATACACAGCATGGATGGATCTGAGAAACACAGGTAAAGAAAGCACTATTTTCAACATGAAACCCAAGAACAAAGCAAAACAGTATATCGATGAGGTACATCTATGGTGACTTTCTATAAAAGAAATGAAGGACAACTCAGGAGAGGTTGCCTTTAAGAAGTGAGGGAGGGGTATGACAGAGAGAAACTTTTAGGTGGATACAATGGTACTCATGTTAAGACTGGGTAGTAGATTCAGGGCTTCATTTTTTTATGACTCATAAATGTATTGTAGACATTTTGTATGCATTAATATTATGCATAAAAAAGGAAGATCAGACCTGAGGGGAAAAGGTTAGGTTTAATACTGAAAGAAACTAAATATATGAAACCTCCTGAAAAAGTGTGTTTTGAAACAGGTGATAACAGTTTGGGGCAATTCACCAAACTAGCTTTAAGCTACATACTTCCTAAGAGGGACAGGACTGTATCAGATATACCACATGTCTTTTTTTTTTTTTTTAAAGATTTATTTAGTAATGCATACAAGAAGGGGTGCAGGCTAGAGATGTGGGGGAAAGAGGATTCTCCAGAGACAGAGTGGGGAGCAGAACAAGTGGATCAACTGAAATATACTGCTGAGGGGAGCAGTAGGCACAACAGGAGAGATCTGCTTGTCATGTGAGTCACCTCCCTGGCAGGGAGTCAAACTCATGCTTCAGTGGTTACACATAGCTTCACAGTGCTGAGACTTAACCCCTTACACCAAAAGGAGGCCCCCATACCACATCTTAGTTAAACTTACAAAGTTTTACACTGAAGTATTAGCTCTCTGGAAGAAAAGTAGAAAGGCTCAGAAGAGATTACCAAGGGAATGCAGGCTTACTCCATCTTGAGTAAACTTGAAGATGTTGTCAAAGAAAGTAAAGAAATACCCAGAAATAATCTGAATGATGACCTTACTGATATGAATACCCAAATCACTGTGGTCATCAACAGGATCACTTAGACTCACCTGTGTTGTCACTTTGTAGGCTACATAGGCGTTCATACCATCTCCTATGGGAGAACAAGAAAGCAGGATTATTCTGTAAACCAAAGCAGTGGTAATCTTGCTAACATTTTACCAGGAATCTCAGGCTATGTAGCCCTGTATATGAAGGGGTATTGCTTCATCTCCAAACTTTACTATCCTATAGTCCAATTCCTACTTTGCCTCAGGACTTCTGTGGTGTATGTCAGCCCACGGATGCTGGCTGGGCCCCAGTTTGAGCCAGACAAGAGAGTCAGCCCCCTGTTCCAAAGCCAGGCTCCATTTATAACCTCCACAAAGCAGCACTGGACACTGACAATCCATTGGTTGTTACCATGCCAATATTTGGGCTGATTACACACATCTGTCCAAAATCAAACAATTGCCTTGCTGTGCATAGCAGGAGGAGGAGGAGGAAGCAACTGATATAAAAGGAAACAAGCAGTTCTACCCTAAGCTAACTCTGGGCTTGACTTGTTCTTTCAGAAATACTGTCCTGGTCCCCTCCATTGGTGCTGAGGGACACTGACCTCTCTCATCTAGCATGTTCACTCAGAGCAAAGGGCTTGGCAGGAAGATTCTTCGACTGTCTGATGTCACACAAATCTCTCTTTTCTGGAGGAATTATTTTTCTGAAAAAGGCTTTGACTGTTAAATAATTTGCGATTCAAGTAATTGTTTTCTCTGTGGTAGTGCTCTGACCTAGACTACTTAGGGACATAAAGGCACCATTGACTCCATGAGCACTGAAAAGACATACATTGGACTCTAGACAGATGCGGCTCCAGTGCTGGACTCTGGTATTTTAGATTGTTTTTGTTCTCTTCCTTCCACCCCTCGGTTTTCCCCCACACCAAACAGGAAAACCTAGGTCAGTAAGTACTAGGCTGCTTATGCTTTAAAACTGAACCTAGGATGAGGGAAGAAGGGCCAGTCCTGAATCAGCAGGGCCACATGGTACAGCTGGTTTCAGTGAGATAGCTAGAGATACCTGCTTTTATAAAGTACACAGAGGTTGGAGATTATACAGAATTATCAACTCCTACCAGAAGAGCGTGTATAAAATGAAAATCATACCGTATGTTTTAGAAATTACTTATACTGATTACTACTGTTCTCCTCTAAACCACTTATACTGCATTGCCTAATACTGTGTTTACCACTGATGTAAGGAAAATAAAATCCTAAACTTTCAGAATAAGTATTCAAAACTTTACTTGCAGTTGAATATGCAATTGGGTCAGTTCCATTAATTTAGTTTCTGCAAAATCTAAATGCAAACAGAAGTAGCAGCAGACATACTTTCGTATGTCAGCTGCTTTTACTGAAACAATGTGTGTGAAAATAGACATAATTTCATTTATATACAGAGTTCATAAGATCTGGAGATGGGCTAGCAATATATCAGTCTTAAGTTTACACTAATTTCATAAATCATTTCAGAAAGCTAACGATGGCAGATGCAAGTTACTAAGGCTCTAAAAAGCACATCCTGGTAGAAGCAGGATTTTAATTTATTTAGATGTGTGCAAGAATGAGAAGTATATGTTGAATAAAGAGCCCACATAAACAGTAGATGTTATGATAGGATCGATCAGGCCTTGAATATGAAAATGCTCTAAGCAGTTGGTTTCTTGGTATCAAACTGATTAGGAACTTAGAATATGGTACAAGAGAATGAAAGCTTATCAAGACTGATCTGTGTTTAAATAAGTAGGGCTTACAAGATGTTTAAATTACTGTTCTGGGTTAAATGGGCACTAAAAAGGCTGAGTTGACAGTCCTAACCCTCAGTAGATCAGAATGTGGCTTTATTTGCAAACAGGGTCTTTATAGAAGTAATAAAAATAAATAAATAAATAAGGTCACTAGGGTGGTCCTAATTCAATTTGTTATGGTTACTGGTGTTCTTATAAAAAAAAAAGGGAAATTTGGACAGAGAAAAACACTCACAGAAGGGAGATGACATGAAGACACTCAGGGAGAATGCCAGGTGACAATGAAGGCAGAGACAGGAATGATGTATTTATATGCCAACAAATATCTGAGGCTATCAAAAGCTAAGGAAGACACATCAAACTGTCCTTTCTAGAGTCTTCAGAGAATCTGACCTTACTGATACCTTATTTCAGAATTTTGGTCCTAGAACTGTGACAGAGAATGTATTTCTATCGTCTAAGCTACCCAATCTGCTACAGATGCCCTCAAAAACTAATAAATTCCCTCTCCTGATTCTACCATCATCACTTGTTAAATATTTTTTAAAAAAAATAGTATTATTAGTTAATAATTTTTCTAATTCTACCAAGGATTTGAAACAGTTATTAATTAGCTTAAAATCTTGACTAGGAATCTAACCCAAAGGACACAAAAACATGCTTGACTAGGAATCTACCCAAAGGACACAAAAACATTAATTCAAAAAGATATCTGCACACCTATGTTTACTGCAGCACTACTCGCAATAGATAAGCTACAGAAACAACTCCAATGCCCCCAAAATAGATGACTGGGTCAAGGAGATGTGGTATACATACATAATGGAATATTATTCAGCAGTCAAAAAGGATAAACTCATGCCATTTGCAGCAACATGGACAGAGCTTGAAGGGATCATGCTTAATGAAATAAACCAGAAGGAAAAAGAAAAATACTGAATGGTTTCACTTATAAGAGGCATACAAGGGAATCAAGTAAGGGATTGGAAAAAAATAACATGGTAATATATAATAATAATAAAACAAAATTAGCAGGCAACCATAAATAAAAAGATATTCTGCAATGGGTAGGGGAAGGAAAAGGGGCCAAAATGGGAGAGAAGAACTAAAGAGACTATAGTGATAGTTCACTGGCGAACTGGTGGTGGGGATTTTATGGGGAATACACAATGATGTAAAATATATAGGTAAAAAATACCCAAAAAGTTGCATAAAGAAAAAAAAATCAATGTGCTTAAAAATATTCATAAATAGAGAAGCAAAGAGAACCTTATACATGTAATACAAAGTTCTGATCTAAGTTTTACCATGGACCGTACTGTGACTGGGCAGAAAATGCTTTGTTACACCTACTGGTCTTCAACTTCCTCTATTACAGTACAAGATACTCATAAATATCTTACCAATGCAACAGTCTAGAACAAGTTAAACTCCACTTTAACAACAAGCCATTTAGCATAAAAAAAAACTAGACTTTATAATTCCCTGTCCCTAGCTCAGAATAGACAAAAGGGCTGGAAATTACATTTTTCCCTTTAACCCACCCTTTTTAAAAAAAAAAAAATTATTTATGCATACAGAACTAGGGTACAGGCCAGAGGTGTAGGGACAGTGTGAGGCTTCACCAGAGACAGAGTAGGGAGCAGAACAGGCAGATCAATGAAGCACACTGCTGAGGGAGAAGCGGGTGGGCCAGGAGAGGTCTGCCGCGCCATGTGGTCACCTCCTGGAGTGGGGGTCGAACTCATGCTGAAGTGGCTTTAGCTTCTCAGTGCTGTGCTTTAACCTGCTGCACCACCCGGGAGGGCCAATACCACCCTTTTTTTTTTAAGGAGGACAAAGCTCCACAGCCTTTCTGTCAGGGACTAAACCTGGAATAAGGAACTTAAGGCCTAGTGCTCTCTGCTTACTCATAACTCAAACAAGCTTGGGACACAGGAAGGCTATTTTGAAAATCTAAGCTCCAAAGTTAAGTATCATGCTTTTTGAAGAGCTAATCTCAATTTGTTCAAAATTTAATCTTTACCTATGAAAGAAAGAGACTTGGAAACATAGACATGGGCACTTTACATTTCTTAGGCAATCAGGAGTATATGACAAATGATTTCCAGTAATATTTTAAATTCAGTATCCCAAACATTCAGAATGTGTGCTTTAGGGTGCTTAAGTAGACTGTGTGATCTTAAAAGGAAGTGAAATGGGCTATGAACTCTTTGGGAGAGATAATATTTGAGTTTTCAAGAAAAAGATATTCTAATAGTACTAATGTCCCTGATTTTTCTTCTTAAAGCCAAGAAAAGATGAAATAAAGTACTGGTCATCTACTATTTCAGGTCTTATAAGCACAGCAAGCAGTACAGTTTCATAAGAAAAATACTGATAAAGTAGTTTACACTGGCAAGTTCACCTCTGGAGGAAACTGTTGAGTTAGTTATGCATTCCACAGCCTAACACCTTAACATCATATCGTAGCATTACACAGAATCTCCAAAACACTTACCTATCTTCTCAGGATCAGTTATACCAACTGTCAAATCAAACTGATCTTCCTGTTCTTCTTCCTCTAGCTTTTTAAAAAGAAGACAAACTATGAGTGTTAATACATTAAATGTCTAATTTTACCCATCAACCTTCTTTCAAAATGACATTAAGATGTATCATTCTACCTATGTTCAACTCTGTCCATTCTCAGTGAGTCCCATGAACCAACTCTCATAATTTAAGTTGGAGCCTATTCAAAAGGTCTCTGTTTACATCTAGTCTCTTCAAATCTTATTTTGACCAGTGACTAAACACTAGATTTTGGATGACTTGTTCATGCCAAACTAAGGAGGGAATGCAGACACTAGACTCTTGAATTTGAGTGCTTCAGATAATAAACCTCATTAGTGCAATCCTCCAGATAACAGATACTCTGCACAAGAAGAGTCCTTTACTAGATTCTGCCTATACACTATCCATATCAAGGTCTTCTTCAAGAGTCATAAATATTTTCCCAAAATTCATTCCAAAATGAATTTCAAACTGCAGCAATTCCTAACAACCCAAAAGAAAGAACACCAACAGCAGAGAATCTCACCTCCTCATAGCTTGGTTGGGACTTAGAATTTGTGGCTTCCTGTGGAAGATGAGAAATAAGCGTTTTGGCTGGCACCTTCTTCTGATTATTTTGTGTGCTGTCGAGGGACAGTTCCACTGTGGCATCTAAAAATAGTGGATATTTAAAAATAAAGGTCAGCAGTGGGTCTTTTCTGGCTAAACTTCAGTTCTACAGGCTAAGAGACAAGAACAACTACTTTCAATACTGAGAGGTTCTCAAACCAGGAAAACAATCTAGAAAATTTCACGTAGATGAAAGAGGAGCCTGGTAAGTAGAATAATCTCTTTCCCTTCCAAATACAACTACCTGGCTACCCTTTTCTACCTAGAGCTTAGACAAGACCCAGGTAGCAAGCAAAAAGACCACACAGACAAAAGAAGTGTTAATTTATTCCTAGTAATAGTTTTAGAAGCTCTATGAACACTATATTCTTGTTATAATTCTTTGTGCAAGAAAACTGTTTGGTTATTGGCTTTGTAAATCAGTAAGAGAAAATACACAGGTATACTAATAGCAAAAAAATGACATCAAAGGAAGAGTGAGAGGAATACATGGATTCAAGATACAAACACAGTAACAGAAGAAAAAGTACTATTATTTTAATACAGTTTAAAAAATAGTTTAAGAGTTGCCTTTGTCTACCTGGGAAAATTTCAGCTGAGTTGAGCAATTCATTCCCTAAGTGTTCTAGCTAGAAGACTTTTAAAAATGCATTATGGTACATTCTTTAGCAGTACATATACACATAAAATTGGAGTGATGAAGAGAGGATTAGCATGGCCCCAGCACAAGGATGACACCCAAAGTTGGGAAGTGTTCCATCAAAGTAGAACATTATGTACCATTTTAGGCATAATGTTTTTTTTTTAGGCAAAAATTTTTTTTAGGCAAATAAGAATGTACTTTCAAACTTGGAGTGATGGAGTTAGAAGTTCAAAACTTAAACAGCTTAAATAAGAAAAACATAAAATAGCTATTTGGGTTTCAACCTTAGGGAATCCAAAGGGTTTCTTTTTCTTTTGTAGACTTTCATGTGGACACTAAGATGAAACCAGGGGTGAGGGGGTATGGCGGGGGCTGGGGGTGGGTTGGGGGTGGTGGTGGTTCTGTAAGACATGACCAAAGCCTGGATCAGCGCTCTTAGAATCATGTCTACAAATGAGGTCACCATACTGCTGGAATTCAGTACCTCTAAAGAAAAGTATCTGACCTTTGTGTGGGAGTATAAAACAGAAAAATAAAATATACATAAATGAGCATGCCAGAATGGTAGGATTCTTTGAAACAAGCAACTATCATGATGGTCCCCTCATAAATAATTACATTAATAATTAAGAAATAAAATAGATGGTACTGCTCACTTAAACCTCTGGCTTACTATTGTGCTACTAAAAGCCTTTTGAGAATGTGCATTTTCTACTAAAATTTGTGTGATAAAGACACTGCAATTTACATTAAAAAGGGTTTGTTCTTCATACTTTTGTAAGAGATGGGAAAGAAAGCCTTTGGACTATCACAGAAAGCCTGAATATCACTAATCCTAAACCTGTAAGAATCTTAAAGGCAGGGATTGCATTTTACATGTCTTGGGATCCTCTATAATAACAACTTACACTGAAAACACACACACACACACACACACACACACACGAAACACAATTCTACGTGTATACTGGTTCCCAGTATAAGTTTTGACTCCATACTTGCCTGCAAAGAGATCTTGTGGCTCTTGGTCTTGTTCCTCATGAATCCCATTTTCTTTGGAGCCATTATTGAAGGGAAGGAGGGCAGTAATTCTCTTTGGAGACTGGGGCTTACTCTGAAAACAAGGAGAATAAATAAAATGGTACTATTAAAAACAAACTAGGCGACCGACCTCTCTGGTGATGCAGGGGTTAAGTCTCTGTGCCATCAAGCTATCACCAGCTACAGCAGCATGAATTCGATCCCCAGCCAGAGAGCTGACCCACATGGTACAGCAGACCTCTACTGTGTTACCTGCTGCTCCCTAGCATTGTTATCAGTAGATCCACCTGTTCTGCTCCCCAGTGTCTCTGGTGAATCCTCTTCACATTCCCTTCCCTGCACCTCTGGCCCACACCTCAGTTCCTGTATGTATAAATAAAATAAATATTTAAAAAACAAATAGCCAAAACACAAACCTAGGAGTGACTTTTGAAGCATTTCCCTAATTAGTTGCTCTCTCACAAATGATTAGGGAAAGACAAGGTACTGCCAGTCAGTTCAATATGCAGCAAGAAATCATTTTTAGTGATTGAAGTACTGCCTAAGTGATCACAGAGGTTTAAAAAAAAAAAAAACAAACAAAAACCTTATGCATTTCAGGGTTAATTTCTAAAACTGTAACCTTTCTGAAATGTCCTATCCCAAAGCACATGATACCAATTAGGTATGTGGTACAAACATGATTTTCAAAAAGAACCTGTCCAAATGCCTTTTTCCTTCTTAGCTGATAACCTTTATTCTTCCAAATGCTGACAGGTCACATTCTAGTGACCAGAACGTCACACTGGAGGTTCAGAATTCAAGCTCTGATCCTGGATTACTTGTGGTGCTGGCTGAACTGTTCACTGGCATCCAATATTGTGGATATTACTGACTCTATCCTCCAAAGGCAAAAGAAGGTGTAACACTTTACATCTAATGTTGCTATAAAAATATCTTTATCTTTTCATCTTTAATTTACAGGATATAATTCTGAAACACATCCATCTCAGGCTGTAATAATTCTGAAACACATCCATCTCAGGCTATAATAAAAACCAGTCATGCTTAGCCTAGTGGACACATGGTGAAAATACAGTCAGTTCATGGCCTTTATCAAAAGCTCAGTGATCAGCCACAAATTAAGCACTGGGTGGGGTGCCAGAGCCTTAACAGAGTGAACAAAGCTGGATTGTCCAGAAAATGAGCAGAAAGCTGAGACTTTTGTTTCAAAAGCCATGATGTAGTATTGCGAGTTTTGAAGTCATAGCCCAAGGCCAAATCAGTTAAAAGACCTGACTTAAGGAATCTTTTATGAAACAATTTTTTAAACAAATCTGAGGATATTTGTCCCTCAGAAACAGGCCTTTTCTATTCCAATAGCACAAACTGAAATGACAGATTCATTGGGTACTCTGGTTTTGCCAGGCAAATGAGTCCAACCCGATATTGGGGCCACCCTCTGGGAAAAAAATTCAGCTAGTATTTAGATTTATATTAGTGAACAATGCTTCTACTGGATCTTTTCTATGCTAATAAAGTTTAATAAGCACTTAGTTGTGTGTGCTTGAAAACATCTAACAATTCTTTTAGATAGTAATTTTGTTTCCTAACTGCTTTTATAATCTTAAAACAAAAAATATCACTGCAGAGACTCCTACAACAAATAGGGCAAAAACAAAAACCTGTTTCCTTATTCCACATACATTGCAAATAAGCACTGGGTGGGGTGCCATATATAGTTATGTTCCTAACCTATATATGTCTTTCCTGGATACACTCTTGTATAGGGATCTCGTAAGAAGCCACCTGATTTCTTTTAATTCAGTTTCCACTGATTCCAGGGGAAATTGAGACCCAAGATATATTTAACGATATATGTATACAAATGTAATTTACTGGTAGTTCTCTAGGGAGACTAAAGCAACAGGAAAGGCATGTTAAAATTCAGCTATTTTTTAAATCGCTGAGCACCCATTCCTGCAATAAGGAGATGAATAAAGATATCTCTGATTTACCACCTAAATAGGGAAGGTTAGTGACTAAGAACATTTTCCAGAGCAAAGTTAGAATAGCAGTCTTCCTTTTTCAGAAGAGATAAAATTACCTGTATTCTCTCTCTCAGACCCCCTTCAAGCCCAATCTACAAGTTGCTAGACTTAGAACTGTAATGAAAACAAAAAAGACATGCTCTCCCATAATAAGTTAGGTAACAACTACTTATGAAAAAAGGAAACTGCTTCTCATAAATCTGAGATTCCATCTCAGGAGCACTTGTGGCTGAGTTTTAAGAAAGCTAAAGATAAATTACTATATTTACCACCCTAATCTTTTCTCTGTTGGTTGTCTTTTTTTTTTTTTTTAAAGGTTTATTTATTTATGCATACAAGAGCTGGGATATGGGCCTGAGATGCTGGAGTCGGTTGTGGGGGTGGTTGGCGTGAGAGGATTCACCAGAGATGGAGGGGAGCAGAAAAGGTGAAAATACACTGAAATACACTGCTGAGGGGAGCAGCAGGCAAGACAGGAGCTGTCTGCTGCCATGTGGGGCAGCTTGCCTGGCCAGGGATAGAACTTGTGCTGCAGTGGCTGCAGATAGCTTTGTAGTGCTGAATTTTAACCCACTGTGCTACCAGTGAGGTCCTCTGTGGTTGTCTTAAGAAATTAATGGTCTATATAGGAAACATAATATTGTCCCTCCCCCCATCTGACACTTTTCTCATGTTATTATTAATACAAAATCCTACTTTTCATGACTTACTCCTCTGTCCTGTTGAGTATACTACAACATAAGCCATTTCCTAAGGATGGATACTTTTTATCTTATCAGAAATAATGGTGTGATATCAATCCCTATATATAAATCCACATATGATTATTCTTTGAGATAGATTTTTAAATAGAATTATAAGATATAGTTTTCAAAGGCTTTGCTATGTTGCCTTCTAGAAAGACCACCAATATAGGTTTTCTCTCCCACACTCCTCCTCCATGCCCAGCATATGTTGAGTCCTGCACCCATAGCAACACTAAGCATTATTATTCTCTTTTAAAAAACTTACCAGTCACACTGGTAAATTATTTGATTTCCAAATGTATACTAGCCACTGAAACTGACTTGTCTTGATGTCCTTTGCCCTTTTTTCTATGCTAAATTAGCATTACTTACATCTACACTTTTCTTACATAAATGTTAAAATCTCTGTGGCATATTGTGCAATACCCCTCCCCCAACTTTACTTCTTGCATATTTGTTTTATTTTTTATCTTATCAAGCTTATTTTCAGTTGATTAATTTGGACTGGCATCTAAGCTTATTTCTTTAGGCTGGTGAAATTATTCAGCATAAAGATGGTCCTCAAGGCATAATATTCTTAAATGTTCTTTAAAATAAAAAAAATGTGCAAAATGATGTAAAATAAACTTTTGTAATAATTAAAAAAATGTTATTTAAAATCAGATTCAAAAGAATCTGAGAACTATTTTTAAGGATAAATGAAATGGATCTCTGTTAATGGAATCCTACATTCTTACAGGGCAGATAACAGAAAACAAGTCGTCTATGAGACTAGTCATCAAAATATATATACACCTGGTTGTTAAAACAGAACACATTTTATATGACGTGCCTAAAACTAAAAAGCTAATTTTTAATTAGTAGTAGGGTATAATTTATATTAGCAAAGCTAATTTTGAATCACCATTTTAGGAAAGACTCATTTTGGGGACAAGGAGAATGCAGACTCACAGTGTAATCACTAAGTGGCAAAATCAATACTGAAACAAGTCTAGATTTATAATCTATATTTTTAAAGAAACCGTCTTAGGTAGTCAAAACTTCCCTCTTAGTAGTCAGTAAGTCAAATAACTTCATCTGGCTTGAAGAGAGCTAAATTTTTAAGCAGAAGATGAAACTATTCAGTGTTGTAGTTCTCAAAGAATGCTCCCTTCCCCACCTCCCCCCTTTTTTAAATAAAGGAAACATTCTTTCTTTTAGCAATAAAATCCTAGGCTAAGATATCCAACACTTGCTAATTCCTTTTTGGCTGGTAATTTTAGCAGGTGTTTCCACTGATAAATCTGATTCAAAGTGTAAGTGTTACTTTTATAATTATAAGAGCAGACTGAGAGCTTAATCCTAATTCTTAGCAACAGCACTAGTGTTAAGAACAAACAGGTATTACTTCCAAATTATCAGACTCAAACCATGAGGCCCGGGCCACTAATACAATTTTCTTGCGGGCCACTAATACAATTTTCTTAACTCACGGAAGGACAGCCATGGATTTGCTATTCTCCTCAGAGATGACATAGGCATTTAGTACTGAAAGGCACTATTATGACTCCCGTTTAGGCTAACCAGTTATGATTCTTCCTCATGTTGCTCAATTGTTATAGAACCATTGTATTACATTTAAGTGCCTTCAAAGGGTAGTACTATTAAATCTTACAACTGCATTTAGAGGTTGAATCCAAATTAAAAGCTAAGGTAACACTACTTTTGAAGAACTAGAATATTCATTTCTGATGGAAAATAATATAATTTAGTAAGGCAAGGTGAAAGTATGAAATTGTGAGAACATGCTAATATGAAAAGGCAAAGTCCATCAGGAATAAATCAAACCCAGAAACTATACCTAGATGATAACAGGGCAGCCAGGAAGTCTTTAAAAATTTCCCTGGGAGTCCTTGACATGAAATATTGATCCTGGGACCCCTTGGTGGCCTAGGAGTTAAGTCTCAGTACTATCAACTCAATAACCTGAGTTAGATCTCGGCCAGGGAGCTAACAACCCATATAAGATGCAGCAAACTTCTCCTGTCTCACCTACTGTGTCTCTTAGCAGTGTATTTTGGTAGATCTGCCTGCTCTGTTACCAACTCTGTCTCTGGTGAATCTTTTCACCACCCCTAACCCCACAACTCTGACCTACACCCAAGTTCTTCTATGCGAAAATAAATAACTATTGCTCCTTTTGCCATTTTTACTTCTAGAAAGAAATGAGTGAAGTGGGGTAAGATAATGAGTTAGTTTTCTATTGCTACTATGACAAATTATCACCAATTTAACAGATTAAACAACATTTAAATTTA